ATGTAAAAATGTAGACAGGGTCCTGATAGAAGGTCCTGTGAACTTGAAATATGAACTAATAAAACAGCCACCAGCTGTGGCCCACTAGCGACCAAGCAGTGGGAAATTTAAAAAAAAAAAAAAAAAAACTTAACTATCTCAAAATCTTTGTTTTACTATTTATCATTCTTTTATATATTGCTCATAACTGTCTCCAACTCTGCTTTAATTTTGCATAATTTTATCTTTTTTTTATTTAATAACTACTAATTAATTGTTTATCAAAAATTTGCTAAAGATTTAAAGCTTAAATCTAAAAGATTCAAAATTGAATCTTTCACTTAAGCTACTGATTTTGATCAAAAATATCTTATTATTCAATCAGATGCTAGATTCAATATTAAGCTCTTTTTTAATATTTCTAAAACATTATTTCTCAAAAGATTCTGTATTCCTTCTCTTAAAAATTCTTTTGATCACTTTAATTCTTGGTTTGAAACTTATTATTCTTCTTACAGTTGATAATTTTTTCTACTATTAACAAAGAAAAAGTTAAAACCTTACTTCAAATTTAATTTCATTAGTATTTTATTCTTTAACTCTTTAAGCACTTTCCTAAATCTTATATCTTTAAAAAACTTAACTCATTTTATAAGTGACATGAAAAAGCATCTTGTGTTGCAAACTTTTACTATCTTACTTGTAACAACAAATCATATTAATATTTCAATAACAAAAAATTTTATGACAGTACTAAACTTTTTAATAACATATTAAGCAAATCTTGCTTATTATTTTTTTTTACTATGATCAGTTTCATAAATAAATTAGTTATTTTATGGTAATCTCTGTATTTTATGATATGTCACATCTATATTTTATGAATAACGGCAATTTTATGATACGTCACATCTATATTTTATAAATAACAGCATTTTTTTAAAATTGTCATAAGTGTACAAAAAATTATATTAAGACAAATATAAAAAATAGCAAAGAAAAGGCTGTATAAATTGCTTTATTATAATTAGTTTTTTCAATTTACATAAATTACATTATAATTCAATATTGATTAATTGTAATATGATCACCATTCAAATAATAATTATTAATGATCGTAGTACCCCCATTATTAGATGCATTTTGCAAACCGGATTGTGATGACCACAACAGCCTTTTTCCACCAAGAGTTGGGTTTTTTTTGGTCGCATTGACGTGAAGAGGCAAATTTGGCTTTGTACTGTTTTTTAAAGGGCTACAAAATTCAGAATATACTGTGCTTTTTTGTTGCATATGAGAATTCAGATAGTTATCGGGCCTCTAAAATAAAATAAATTTATAAATTTAAACATAATTTAAAGCAAATAAATAAAATTAAAAATTTTACTGAATCCTGATTTTTATTTAAAGAATTATCAACATCATTATCTTTATTATTTTGAGATTCCGGAAGATCAACAACATCAATTAATGTAGACAATGCATCCTTTTTCTGCTGCTCACTTGGTCGTGAATATATATGATATGATGATTCACTTTTATGGCTGGTTATTGACATCAAGGTAACAATCGGAATACCTTCATGAAATAAATGCATAATTGGTGTGGTTCTTCCTGAGTGATTAATGATATCATGATTCTTGATATTTATTCCAACTTTAGTACAAATGCTTTTCATAAAGTTGCTGCATGAATTCTGACTCAATTTAGCGTTAAAATACTATTTACTATTTTTATATTCTATATTAAATAATTGTAAATTAAATATGTAATTTATTAATTAAAAAAAAATAACATTACAAAATACCATGAATATTTTTATTAATTTTAAGATGAAGAAATTGACATGCACAATTCGTGGGTCTTTTGCTTAAATAAAGCTTAATATTATGAACAGGCCCCAAATATCCTTCCGGATCTGCTAGTACTGGTATAATAAATGAATCCAAATTTCCTTCGATACTACCAGGATCATTTTTCTGAGAAAATTTCGTAAACTGAATTCCTTTATTGTCAAGAAAAGTGAATTGTGTAATCTTCATTTGACTATGTTCACCACCACGTAGAGCGAAAAGAAGACAACACTACATAAAGACCCGATTTTGAAGACCTTTAGCTGTATTAATAGACAGAGCCTCATGATTAAATATTGTCCTTAATTCATTAGGTGACAATGGATCATGATGTTTGGTGGTCTTTCTGGATTGCTTCAGAACCTTCATTTTACCATTAAGAACTTTCTACAATAAAGGAAATTCATTTTTATTGTTAATTATGAATTTCTCACTACTACCTGGATGTTTGTAAATATAATTACTCAAACAATTATATGTGTTAACTAATGATGAAGGAGTATAATCACTTCCATCTTGAATTTTTCGCACATCACAAAAAAATTCTGTCATTTCTTTTTTAACCTGGTCTTTATTAGTGACTGTTTCAATACCATAACAATATCCAACATTATTTTGCCACCGATTCAAAGCTTTTACCTATTTTTTTGTAGCCTTATGAGTATTTTCAGGAATGCAAGACTCGATTATCTCATCAATTTCTGTATTGATAGGTAAGTAATCACCACGGCCTTTAGCATATGATTTTCTTTTTTTCTAACATACCAGTAAAATTGATTTAAATTTAATAACAAGTAAAAACTTTACTTTAAATACTAAATTATAACCTACCATCCAAAAAACTTGCTATGGGTTAAAGCAGCGTTGGCAAGTGCTATGGACTTGAATCAGCATTGGCAAATACTATGGACTTGGATCAGCATTGGCAGGTACTATGAACTTGGATCAGTGTTGGCAGTACTATGGACTTGGATAAGCGTTGGCAGGTGCATATTAATAGACTTGAAGCTTCGTTGGTGGGTACTAATGGACTTTTATCTTCGTTACAGGTACTAATTGCAAGATTCGGTAAAAGCCTTTAAAAAGGCTAGACATATAACGCTATTGCTGTATTGATTATAATATACATTACCTGAGGGCACACACTTCAGGTTTGTCATTAAGGAGGCACAGGCCTCAAAATTTAAAATATATACTCTTGGGGGCACAGCGAAAGTATTAAAAGCAGTAAAAAAAAAGATTATCAGGTGAAAATCTATTTATACCATTGTTTCAAAAAGTCCACAATTACGTATTAATTAATTTTTGAATCACTGATTATCGTAAAAAAAAAATAAATCTGTTATTGCATGCTATGCAGCAATAACTGTCGTATCATGTGCTCAAAATCTACTGGCCCTTTTGCTCGCTAGAAAAGTGTGCAAGTACATGATCTGCTGCTTTGCAGCAGATCATATGCTTGCACACTTTTCTAGTGAGCAAAAGGGCCAGTAGATTTTGAGCACATGATACTTCACGTATTTTATGTTTTTTTCCTAATTGTTCAGTAACCTAGCCATACTGGCTGGATCACTGACCAATCAGGATCGTCCATAAAATACTACAGTTATTGCATGCTTCGCATGCAATAACTATTTAATATTCCAAGACTTTTAATAAACATTTAGAATATTTATAACAAACTTTTTTAAAATTAAAAAAGCTGATCTAGAATTAAACTTAAAAAAATATAAGTTTTGAATGCAAAGCTTACTATCTTTAGGAAATATAGTTACTTTTATTGAAATTGCATCTAACTCTCAAAAAATAGAAGCTGTTTAGAAGATTTAACCACTTAGCAATATAATCTAATTATATTTATTCTTAGGACTAATAGGATATTATTAACAGTTTATTTATAACTTCTCTAAAGTAGTATAGTCTTTAAACCAGCTGCTATATAAAAAAACTCCTTATATATAGAATTAACTACAACAGAAAGCTTTTGAAAAATTAAAACAAAAACTTATTATAGTCTTTATATTAAAGTATCTTGGCTTTAACAGACTATTTATTTTAGCTACTAATGCCTCTTATTATGAATTCAAAGCTATGCTTAGTTAATTAGATAAAAACAAAAAAAAACATTTTGTAGCCTATGCAAGTAAAAGCTTAAGCAAAGAAAAAGTCAACTATAAAGCTACTAAACTTAAGTGTACTACTATTGTATAGACTATTGATTATTTTTACAAATATTTTAAAACTGCCAAATTCATCTTAATTACAGACTACTTTGTTTTTAAATGATTACAATCTGCTAACCTAAAGAATGCTTAGAAAGATAAATTTCAAAACTTCAGTCCTATAACTTTAAAATTATTTATAAATTAGAAGAAGTTTACTCTAATATAGATATCTTATTTTAACTTCAAACACAAACCTTACACTAAAACTTTTTCTTATAAATTTAGATCTCTATTATAATTTATATAATTATATAGAATCAAACAAATTATTTGATTCTTTATTACAGAAACAGATGTGACAACTCTCCTCGCTGATCCTCAATTCCAAAACAAGGAAAAACAAAATACAAAAAAAACAAGAAAACTGGCTAGCAAACACCCTTTAGGTGACTAACAAAAAAGCTATATTAGGAAGAAATACATATAATATA